CTTTTGGTGAATGGGTAAATTGTAATGAATGAATAGGTCGTGATTAAGATTAACTAAGACTAGGATAGCTAATGAAAATCAGTCCCCCCCCCTCAGCTATGTGCCACAATTTTGTAAAATTACAAAATAAATATCCATTTCTAGTCTAACCTTTATTACTATTCGGATCACCATTTCTCCTCTATCCTCTATTATTATACGGACCGCTATTCTCTTCTCTATACTATTTGGATCACTATACGGATTACTGTTCGAGCGACTATTATCGAGCAAGTATTATTAGTGCGAGTGTTATTCGAAGGCGTCTGGCACCAGGATTGTTCAACGGCGTACTATAGTTGTATCTGCTATTACAAGTCTCTACTACAATGAGCATCACAAAAGTGATAACGAATATTCGTTGGCATCACAAAAAATTGTCAGGATGTGACACACGCAGTTGATTTCATGATCTTTCTCTGTGGCATATATGGAATGAGACATTCAGTATCCAGTTCTGAAACTGCAACGAATTGCCGCTGACTCGGTTATGATTTTCAGTGACGACTTCTATAGCATGTCCGTAGCCTTCTTCATACGCTGGTTCAACCGTTGTTTTAATCATCATCCATTTTTTCCACTGTTGGTTCCTTTGGGGTTGGTCGCGCTTAATCTGGTTTCTCGTCTTTGACTTTGCCACCAAGAGTGGGGGGGGGGCTAGATGTAATCGTAAGTTCCATGCTAACAGTTTCTTCTTTCACAATTCTCGCTCGTGGAACTCTCATCTGGTTTCTTGATTTCCAGTCAACTTTGATCTTCAAAACTTGTCAATCGTTTTCTTCTGTTTTCTTAATTCCTTTTCTTTTATTGTTGTCGCTCTTAATAATGTGTTCTTTTTCTCATATTCTTTCACACTCAAAGCATCTTAGTGGATTTATTGCTTTGCTTGGGAGAATGATTAAAAAAGGGTCTAATCGTTTAGTTCGAAACCGAACCGTTTACATTTTATACGTCGAAATGGATGAAAGACCCTATATAAAATGAATAATACAGTCAATATCATAATCACTATTTGAAATCGTCTAAGTTTGGCAGCATCTCTCTTACAATTTAATCTTGTCCTGTTGATTTGTTCCTACTCGTTTTGGTCACTACTGATTTTAATACTACAAGGCCCTCTATGTGTTTATGTATTGTAGTTGTCATTTCTTTGTTGTCATATTAAGAGCTCTCCAACGTATTCATTTAACCTGTTATATATCTCTTCTGTTTCTACCAAGAACTTTTGTCGAGAAGGATGTCCTTTATTGAGTCACTCATCTTTTTGTTGCTTGCATTTTTTTTTTCTAATCTCTTCGTTTGACATCCGATATTTTGCGCTATTCCTTGTCTATTGTCTCTTTTTCGTTTCGTTCAATTCATCTGTCATTCACTCCTTTTCTTCCTTGTCTTTCTTTCCTTTGGGATGACTTTTGCTAACATCACTCGTGCGTCCTTTAAGATGTTCCACTTTGAATTACTGATTTCATCCAATCATTTATATTTCTGCTTAACTGTATTAACATACATTTATTTTAGAACTGAATCGTTTCGTAGTCTACTGTAATTTAGATCTTGCTTTAGTTTTCTTTATTTTTGTCATTTTATCTTTAGTTGCATTTGACCCAGTGCGTACATACATTTTAGAGAATTGAACTGGATTTATAAAACTTTTATTGATTATTAGGTTATCTGTTTTGTTCGTTATGTTCTCGCCTGGGCTCTTCCATATCTACAAGAGTCTTAAGTATTGACAGGGCCGGTGCAAGTGTCTTGTGCTCCCGCCACAAAATTAATAATACGGAGCACCCACTCTAATACATCTCAATTTTCATGAATATATTGACATAAAATACAAATTTTATTTTAACCTAATAACAAAAGTGAATCATATGCAATATAGAGGAACAATTGAACTAGAAAAATGGAAAAATAAATCCAATGTATCTAAATACAAGTTAGAGACACGTAACAGATCATTTAATTTTAAATAAAACAAAAAATTTTTGCGGCAATTTTTAACATCAACTTGAGATTTTTCTCGTTAAAAAGTTGAATAATTTAACATATTCAACATTATGGATAAAAAATAGTGATCTTCATATTGTCTATTTTCCAGGTTTAGCATGTGCAAAACAAATTCACGGATTTCGACGAAAAAAAGAACACCCCCAGAATCCGCGAAAAAAAAGACCCCCAAAATCAGCGGAAGTTTTTTATCCATTTATATTCAGTTGTGCTTAGTTTAATTTGTAACGTATATAAATTTATGTAGAAAACGCAAATGTTAATAAGATATCGCGTGTCACAAAGCACTGCATGCAGCCCTGAACCAGACTTGTACCCTCTCGTCGTGGGGTTCGGTGTTAGTACCTGCCAGCCCCGGTTGTTGGATATTACTCGTTCGTTCGCTGTACACCACTGGACGTAATATTTTTCCGCCTTGTATGAACTGACTTGCTCATGATTTCGCTGTCTATTTTCTTTCTTCCCTATTTGGATGATGTGAATTTTTTTTACAATTTGTATTGGTTGTTAGCACTATTTAGCACACTATAAAACTTATCTAATTCTTCTTCTGTGCTTTACGGCATTGGCGTGTATACTATTACAGTGGCTATATTGAAAGGTTTTTTCTCTCAGTTTCAGTAAAAGAACTCTGCCTGACAACTGATAGTGCCACAGAACACATTTTATTTTGTTATTTTCTTTCTCTCTCCGCTTTCATATGTGATTCTACGTCCATTGCTAATGAAGTCCTCATTGTTTATCCATCTTGTTTCCCAGACTCCCAGCATGTTGACGTGTGGATATTTCATTTCCTGTTTGACATTATAAAATTAGATTTATGTTTTATATATAATGTTTTGAACTTAGTGATAGTTGTCAAATATTTTTCTTAAGGTCTGAAGTAACAATAGAGAAAAAAACCCTTCTCTCTAGCTTGAACGCAACGATTGTTAAAGAAAAGCAGCGCTCTGAAAAAAGGCATTGTTCGTTTTCGTTATGACTGTAAGTTCAAACTCGCTAGGAAAATAAAAGAATAGTGACTTATTAATCGAGTGATATCAATGCTACTATCTAAATATGCTCCGTCCTGAACAGGACATAGGCGAATATGACTCTCTATAGTTTCCCTTCCATTGCCATGATTTCTTGGGAAAGATATTGGAGTGGATTTCCATTCAATTTTCTACGCTTTGGAAGTCAGACTTGTCCTTCTCTTAGACAGGATGCTACACAATACTAGAGAGTCCAGTGGGAATCTGTTATTTAACTCAAAGCAGGGGAAAGAAAATGGGTTTATGCTTTTCCTTTGAAGAAACTAGTGCAAAAATAAAAAAAATGCCTTTCTTAAGGACACACTAGAAAAGCAGAAGCATTCCTTCCCAAAAGACTCGCCTTGCTGTTTTCACTTTCTGCGCTGGTAATTGTTACACTACCCGCGCATTCTACTAATGCAACAAAAAATCCTAAATGCATCTATCTTATTGAATGTTTTTACTGCGTACTTTGTTGTGGTTTTGATGTAATTTACTACACAGTAGCTTTTCTCAGCATGCTTAACCTGGATAGAGGCTATGGATCATACTGTTTCCAATAAAGGCAAGGGATCATATTGTTCCGAATAGAGGCTATGATTCATATTGTTCCGAATACAGATTATGGATCATATTGTTCTCAGTAAAGGCTATGTATCATTGTTCCTAATAAAGACTGTGGATCATACTGTTCCGAATAGAGGCTATGAATCATATTGTTCTAAATAGAGATTATGGATAATATTGTTCCCAATAAAGTCTATGAATCATATTGTCCCAATAAAGGCTGTGGGCCATATCGTACCCAATAGAGGCTATGGATCATATTATTCCCAAAATAGGCTACGGATCGTGCTGTTCCGAATATAGGCTATGAATCATATTGTTCCGAATAGAGGCGATGGGTAATATTGTTCCCAATAAAGGCTAAGCATCATATTGTTCTGAATAGAAGCTATGGATCATTATGCTCCGAAAAGAACCTATGTATCATATTGTTCCCACTAAAGGCTATGCATCATATTGTTCCCAATAGAGGCTATGGATCATATTGTTCCAAATATAGGCTATGGATCATGCTGTTCCGAATAGAGGCTATGGATCATACTGTTCCGAATGGAGGTTATTGATCATATTGTTCCGAATACAGGCTATGAATAATATTGTTCCGAATAGAGGCTATGGATCATACTGTTCCGAATAGAGGCTATGCATCATATTGTTCCGAATAGTGGCTATGGATCATATTGTTCACAAAATAGACCATGGAAATTAGGAAGACGGAACTCTTTGAGAGGTATGCCAGCACGAAGTCACAAGTCATCGTCACCGAGGACTGAAGAAAACTTGGGTAAGTTTGTACCGGTTTGAAATAGACTATACCCACATAAAAATATTTGGGAATTTTTGTTGCATAATATATATATATATATATATATATATATATATATATATATATATATATATATACTAGAGTAAATCAAAGTAAACGCAATATACATACAACACTCTTATTTCAAAAATTACTTTCTAATTTTTCCCTCACACACACACACACGTATATATATATATATATATATATATATATATATATATATATATATATAAGATTTTGTCATTTAGCTGATTGATGTTACCTTCAATATCCCGACTCGAGAGTTTCGTAGACGGATCCGTCCGTCCACTCTTCAGGGGTTATCAGCAATTGACTATATATATATATATATATATATATATAGTTAGAGAGAGAGGGGGGAGAAAGAGACAGAAATAGATATGAAAGAATATAGATTCTTATCTTTGTATTAATTTATTAAACTAATTTGAAGGTGTCAAAGATTTAACGATTTATTTTTCTTTCTTTAGGTCCCTGCTCCAGCAACACTCGAGGTCTACCAGTTCCATACTGTCTGTAATTCAAAGAATCTTCAAATGCAGAAAATGGATTCGTGGTTGTTCATTTCTTTGACATTTCTTATTATCATACCGGTGAATTCCTTCAACTTAGACGCAAGGAATTTTCTGGAAATAAAAGGGAACGAAAACCAATATTTTGGCTACTCCGTAGGATTCAGAAAAAGTTTAAATCAATTCAAGTAAGCATTAATTATTTGTTGAAAATAGTTGTTGATGTATTACAGAGAGACTGAGGATGATTCAGTTTGGTTGCAAAGGTTAGGACTGGTGAAACCAATGACTGTAACTCGTAAAAAACATGCAATCGAAATAGCGATGGAGTAGTGTGAGGTTTGTGGTGTTTCGTCTGTGGGAAAGGGGTTTTACTGAGGAAAACAATTCATCACCCATACGGCCGCGTAGACGTTTCTTTTTTTTTACGCATTTCACTCCAAGCAAAGCGGGAATGCCACTAGCACGCAAGGGGTTACAGAAAGTGAGAGAAAAGATAAGTGTTTGAGGAAAGAATATAGAAAAGGACGGGAATCAGGATCAAGGCATCCGAAGATGTCGATTGACATTGCATTTGAATATTTGGAGCTTATAGCTATCAGGGAAGCAAATAAGAAGAAGGGAGTTCCACTGGCAGGAAGTGCGAGAGAAAACGCTGTTGAAGTAGAAAAGGCATTTACATTTAACTGTTTCGACAGTGAAAGGGTGTAACCGGGATGCCAACACTTGAATTCATACTGTAGGGGTACCAATGAAAGTATTGCCATGAAAATATTTGTAGAAAAGACAGAAGGAAGACACATCAGGCCTGTGATAAAGTGATTGTAGACGAGATGCCAGATTACATCACATTGCATATCCGTCTCTGGATTTTGTCGAGGACCACGAGATGAACAGCGAGGGTACCACACTATATATGGCAACAGTATTCAGTACAAGGACGAATGGTAGATTTCTAGATTTGAAGGATGGACTTGACTGAAGTGAGGATTTGGCGGTTCCAAACTAAGATATGTCAGTAATATTTCATTATTAGCAGTATAACCCGTCTTTGCCCGGGTGTTTCATTACTGGGAATTTTTGCCGTTCAGTTGGAGCAATTTAAGTTTAAAGTTAGCCCACCTGAAAATCAACATTAGTAACATTTGGGTACAACAGAGGCACATCCCGAAATGGGGGGGAGGGGTTAACAATTTGAATGGAGGGGTTGACCCTGAAAAGCGCCGTTTTTGCGTTCTCAATCTTGCAAGGAAGGAACCTCTTCCATGGACCGTCATAATAATAATATTCTATAATTTTTATTTATAATATAATTTTTTTATAATTCTAATAATCTTTTGTGTTAGATTTCAACTCTCTAAATTGATTGTACGCTGTTTTTTAACAGACATTAAATTTGGCCTTTGATTTTTTGCGCAAAGTGTAAAAAATTTTAACCTTCAAGGTTGTAATTTTTTCCAGTCAATTTGGACTCAAAACCGGCACTGAAGAATTATCTATCAAACAAAAATAATTTCATCGAAATCGGATGAAAACTGTGGAAATGCATAAACAACATCCGATCACACATACATACCCACACACACATTTTGAGAATTATAGATGTAAGATTGGTCTGATCTGGCACTTCTATAGAGTAAGCAGACACTTACTGGAGTGGTGCAAGGAAGCGAACATTATATGAGTTAAACTTCAGGTCTGGGGAGAGGTTGGGTTCTAATGGACGTTCAATTCAAGGAGCCTTGTTGGGAGAACACACGTTCATCCTGGTACGTGAAAGTGTGGCGTCTACTCGATGATGATAAAACGTTACTAATTTGGTTTGGGGCTTATTTTACAAGCCAGTTCTTTATCTGTTGAGCTATTTGGGCTACGTCAGAAGAAAGGTCAACTGTCAGGTCCAAGTCTTCCAGATTTTGGGAGTCGCAGCTAAAAACTTTATAATCTGCATAAATATTCACTAGAAATCAGAATATGTTCTTAGGCAGATCATTTGCATAGAAAGAGAGTAAGACTGAGATGTGACGGTTACACACCTGGCCCAGGGTCGAATCCCTTGGTTACGGCGCCAACTGTGACGTCGTTCCTCCTGGTCGCTCCTCCTGGTTCCAAGCGTGCCGCTCCAACCCCTTGGTTAGATGATCACCAGCCTCGCCTTTCCCAACTCGCTTCCAATACCTGGTTCCTGAAGCAACTGTACTGATCTCCGGTCTGTCTACCCACGCTGTGTTTAGATCTTAGACAGACGGGACCAGCAGGGATTGGGGCCGATACAAGTTGAGTCCGACGGGGGTGGCAAAACACAAGTAAAAGAAAAAAAACTCACGAGACAAAAAGATTGCTGATAAAAAAAAAAGGGTAACAACCTTTATATCTAATGTTCGTTACATAAAAACAAAATTGTTCTCATTTCCCGACCCGCTCTGTGGACTATGGCACCAAGCTTCTATCACACAACCTAAAGATTTCGAATTGCCTACTCTTTAGAATTGTGTATGTCGGAGTGTGGTTTAGTTCGACACTGGGGCTAATTTCTATCGATCATTCGCAGTTGATTCTTCTCTTCGACTTGAGTTGTATTTCTTCTTCTTCGTCGACTTAGATAGAACTTCTCTTGTCTTCGACTTGGGCTGGATCTTCTCTGCGGCTTTCGAGTAATCTTCTTCTTTTGTCCACTTGGGCTGGAAGTTCTCTTGTCTTCGACTTGGGTGGAAGGATTTCTTGTTTTGACTTGGGTGGAAGGATTTCTTGCCGCAACTCAGCCGCTACTCTCTGTCGTCCGAGGTGATCTCTTCTCGCTGCCGTCCGGGGCTGAACTCTGCCGTAACTCTGCCACAACTCTTGGCGTCCTTCGAGCAATCTCCTTCTTCGTCTGCTTGGGCTGGAAGTTCTCTTGTCTTCGACTTGGGTGGAAGGATTTCTTGTCTGAGGATTCTCTTGCCCGCAAAGGGGCGAGTGAATCGGGCCTGATGCCCGCGTTCAGGCTCTATCCCTGCCCGCGGTCCAGCTGCAACTCATTTCTGTCGACTGGGGTCCTGCTTTTATTGACGCCGCAACAAACCGGGGTGGGTTTGTCGGCGTCAGGGGTTTCTCGATAATTCCAATAGCCGCATTATTTCTGTCTTCCCATTATCGCTATTGTTTTCACCCCTACTTCCTCACAGTGCCTTTGGTGGGGAGGCGCACCCATCTTTCCCGGTCCCTCGTATGTCAGGTGACCGCTCTCGACCAATGATTCCTGATCGAGCATTTCTCCTCCTCTCTCCCGTATGCCACGTGACCGTTTCCGACCAATTGTTATTGATCGAGCATCCTTTCTCCTCTTTTCGGGCGTGGTTTACATCGTTCTTGTTTTAAAAACAAAATCCAATTTTGCCCTTTTCGCACGTACGAAAAATGACAATCTTGGCTTTTCTCACCTGGGCTCTGTCAAAACAGCCTGCCGCTAATTAGATGTGACTTCAGGAAAGAATATTGGCGCCATCTGTGAGCTGAGACAATCGTTTTTCACCTCTTGTTTTTGTCAGACCCGACAGTCAGAAAATCTTAATTATCTACATTGAAAATGTCCCCACTTTATTATCGTGGGTTTCCAATTCTTAATAGGTCAGCTCCACCGGTCACTCCCCTCAACCCAAAAGACACTTTTTCTCCGATTAAAAAAATTTCGTTTCTATTGTTCTAAAAGAAATTCCCCCTTTCTCCAATTTGACAATGAGTCTTTCCACGCAAAAGTAGGCTAGGTGCTTTGACCGATATTCTTATCAATCGCCAATACACTGTCATCAAGCCTGGTTCTTTTCTCCCTCTAAATGATTTTTTCATTTCAAATAACAATTCTCTATTGTCTTTTTAAAATTCGGCCAACACGCAGGCCAAGATATCTTTCTGACACCTATCTTCGCTTATGACAGGGTCATGCATCACCCATCTCTCTTTCCTTTTTTTTCCTTTCTTCCTCTTTTCTTTCCCCTTCCTTCTTCTTTCCTTAGGATCGTCTAAGTACAACTTTAGTGAATTATTTTCAACTCAATTATTTTCCGTTTTAAAAAAAAATCAACAACCTGTTTAATAAACCGAGTAAAAAAAAAAAAATTAAATCATATTTCTATGAATATTTCTAATAATGCAAGGTGCCACAATCCTCCCTAACCGATTTGTCATTTACCCGTAAGTGACACCTAAACCCAATTACATCATTTAACATGCACCATGCATTTGTCTCATGCAATTCTATTCTACTTTCTAACATGCAAGGGTAATGTTCTTTCCATTTTCTTTTGTTCTACATGCAATGAAATGTTCTTTTCATTTTCTTTTTTTGTTCTACATGCAATGAAATGTTCTTTTTCATTTTCTTTTTGTTCTACAGGCAATGTAATGTTCTTTTCATTTTCTTCTGTTCTACATGCAATGAAATGTTCTTTTCATTTTCTTTTGTTCTACATGCAATGAAATGTTCTTTTTATTTTCTTTTTGTTCTACATGCAATGTAATGTTCTTTTCATTTTCTTCTGTTCTACATGAAATGAAATGTTCTTTTCATTTTCTTTTGTTCTACATGCAATGAAATGTTCTTTTTTTTTTTTTTGTTCTACATGCAATGTAATGTTCTTTTCATTTTCTTTTGTTCTACATGCAAGGTAATGTTCTTTTCATTTTCTTCTGTTCTACATGCAAGTTAATGTGTGCGTGTGTCTGTAGGTGCAGATGTGTTCACTAGGGTTTGTTCTTCTTGGTCAATGTTTTCCTCTCTGCCATGGGAGGTTTTTCCGCCGCACGTGGTGGTCTCACGCCAGCCTCCTCCATTGGTCTTTCAGCAATTTCTTCGCCAGTCCTGTCTGAGTAAGGAACACTGCTCGGCATCTCCCTCTCGAGTTGTTGCATGCTCACTAGACTGTCGTTCGCTAATCTTCTCTTACTCTTAATCTTCCATATTATTACACCCCCGATGGCTATAACTAGGAATGTACCCATTACTATTGACCAACTTATCGCGATCTGCTCATCGTCTTCCCAAGCTACACCTTCGTCTCCCAACGCACTTAACTTATCCCTTAAGTGATCCATATCGATCTTTTCTATTGGCTTCATTAATACTGGCATCTTATTTAAGGTAACATTAGAGAATCTCTTCACTATCGGCTCCCATAATTCTGTACAATTGACTAAGCCTCTACCAATCATC